AATCAGCTCGTCTGTCCTGCTTGTTTGGGGGTCTCATCCAGGTCATTTTGGAGAAAAACTGAAGTTTGGGCTTCAGCAGCATGGCTGGGTAGCCTGTATCACCCTCCTACATCCCTTGGGGAAAGGCGTGCCTCTTGTTTTTAGTAGAGGAGTTTTTTTGCCATATGTACAGTACATGTACCTTTGAATTCTTATTCGCCCTGATCGCTTGGGACATACAGTACACAGTACAGCAGACAATGCCACACAACGTAGACAGTACATTACAAACAATAATAAAAACAGAACAGTAAATATGTAATAGTGAAAACAACATGGTAGACCATGCAAAAAGTGCATAATGCAGACGTGCACTGAGTCTGAGCCATTGCAGTTAGCTGTTAACATCCTTGGTTTTAAATGCACGGCCATGTAGTTTCCACTTGCACCCTCTGGTTTGTGTTGAACTATAACCCTGTTCTTTGGTTTTATGCTCTTCACCCATCTGTCCATTTTCCAACCACAGTATCCAGTACAGGCTCGTGGGAGAGCTGGAGCCTATCCCACCGAGCACTGGGCACAAGGCTGAATATGCTCTTGACAGGACACAAGTACATCCTAGGTTAGACACAGGTGCACACACTCGCACCAGGGCCGATTTTCCAAGAAGCCAGTCACCCTACCAGTATGGTTTTTGGTCTGTGGGAGGAAACCGGAGCACCCAGAGAAAAGCCCGTCATCCACTCCAGCAATTACACCCTGGGCCCTGCACTACGAAGCAACACTGGGAAGCACTGTGCCACTGTGCTGCCTGTTTATTTTTATGCCCTTGTTGCTTCAGCTCTGTAAAATGAAATACATGAGCACTGGAAGAATGTTTATTGACCTGAGGGGCAATGGAGAAATGTTCCACAGTAAACACATTGTGACAGGTCTGCATGGGGCAGAACGCAGAGCAGGCCAGTGGAAACAAAACTGCGCAGCTCAGCTGTTGAAAACGTTGTCGGTTCGGCTTCGCAATGGCGCATTTTGAAAAGGGTGCGTATTTCTGTGAGCCGTGGCATCCTTTTCCTGCTTCAAGGGGAGCCACTGAGATGAGTTGTTTACCAGACGGTATTAGTCCAGCAAACGCCTTGAGCCACCGCATTGCTTTAAGCGTAGGACAGCTCTTCTTGTGAAAATGCACGTCTTCTCTGTGGTGGGATGTATACTGACACCCTGCGGCTGTTCGCCATGTTACCAGTGTTGTTTGTTGTTGCTAAACACCATGCAGATCAGCAGGGTGACGCCTGCACTGCAGCCTCTGTGGCATGAATCCCACAGCTCTCTTAATCCTCTGACACTTTTCTCTTGCTGTGCTCTCTTTCCTACTGTCTTGCTGAGTGGTTCTGAGGAGGTCAGACAAGGAGGGGCTGTCACGAGAGAGATTTGTTTTCCCATCTAGCTTTCTTCTGAGAGGGTTCCACCCCAAAACAGGGGGATAAGCAGAGGGACACAAGCCAGGGCTATCAGGTTTCTGGCTGTTTGTAGGAGAAGGCACGGGGGGGTAGGCTAGGGCTGAGCACAGAAGCTTGCAACGTGACTCACTGGGAACCTGCCTGGCTCGGGGGCTGTTACCAAGATCCCCATGCCACACTGCTCCGACTGCCAAACCCTTGCTCGCTGTGTGTGAACTGGGAAGAAAAGGAACAGATATTATAAGCTGCTGTTTCTGGTACAGTATGAGAGTTTCTTTTTATAAGAAAAGAGCGCATCTGTATCCTATTAAGAACAGATGAGAAGGTGTTTTTTGAACGCTGACTTTGTCAGTGGAGGGGGCGATCTATGAACTTTTAAGAACGTAGAAGGAAAGAAAAGGGAGCTTAGATTCATTCCTTCCAAGGCTGCAGGGAGAAATGTCAGCAGGACTGAAGGAACGGTGACTGTCTTGAAGCCGGTGTCAATGCGAGTACGACGCAGGTGATGATGACTGATGTGCGCTAAAAAAAGAGGAAGCTTCTTTTCGTCACCGTTATGTCCTCCTCGGTCGTTTGTTTTGAGCTAAAAATAAGGCGCCGAGCTATTTTTACTCTGTGCATGAGGATTCGGGTTATGCCTGAGAGAATCCGAGCGGCGCGGAGGAACAAAGTAAAATCGGAGAATCGTGCAGAGACGCGCCGGCGCTCGCTCGCCACTAGTGGGAGCGAAACTGACCTACTTTCTTACTTTACAGTTTTGACCTACTTCTGTTATTGTCACGTTTACCTACAATCTCCCATTCTTCGCTTTGTCTCCTGCCCAGTGCCTATTATAGAATTGTACTGAAGAATTGAAAATAGTGGTGTTTTTTTCAGAATTTAAAAGCAGGTGAAATTATAGATAAACCAAAGGTGATCCGTAGACCCTCTAATAACGAAATCTGAATTTTCAAGAAATGGTTATACCCAGGTGCAGAAATAGTCTGCTGATTCCCCCCCGTATTAAATATTAAGATCCAGCAGAATTTGTATTTGTGAATTGCTTGCTAATTACTCTATATTGACAACGCCTTTACTACTAAAAACTAATCTATATAGTTGATACCAAGGAAAAACTACTTTGAAACATGGCAAATCTCGAAATATGAATTGCCCTTGGGGTTAGAAAGGTGTAGGTGTTTGGGGAAGGGGGAAAATGGGCGGGTAAGTGTTAGGACTGACAGGGTAGCTAGCCAATCATGTGTGTCAGAGGGTTCGAGCACTTAGGCGCTCATCCAGTGGGTGATGTATTGGAGTCCCTCCTTCCCCACCCTCACTGCCCGGAGTAGGCGAACCCAGCAAACCTTCGTGTGATTGACAGATCCCCGTCCGGATTTGAACCAATAGCATTTTAATCTTGATGCCTGGGGGGCGAAGTGGAGGTTGTTGACAAATCATTGCGTTTGCACGGTTAGTGGTGTTTCTTGTTTTTCTTGGGGGTCTCGGGAGTGAAAAGCATTTTCATCTCCGCTCAGACTTTGATTCAGAAAAAGTAATTAAGGTCGGTCTCCTTTGGTGTACCCTGACAGCATATTGACGTCGGCTTTGAAAGGGGATACTTAGAATTGCATGGGGGACTCTGCCTTGCTGTTTCTCCCCACCCCGCACCGATCGTCCTTGGAATTGCAGTGGCGCTTGTCAGCATCCATTTACTAATTCGGCACTTGGCGAAGGAATGGACTCACCCAGCTGAAGAGCCATACGACGGCAGGAGGAGTCATCAACTTGCGTTTCTTCTCTCTCGTCTCTATACCTGACAGTTTTCGGTGCTATCCACGGGGTACAGGCGAAATCTCCGCCGACTGCACCCGATCTTCAGTGAGTCACGCACATTTGCGGACAAACGGTGTTTAACCTGGGTTACAAATCCAGTTGCGAGCATTTCTTTTTTTTAGCACTATGCATGCACGGTCCATGGTGCGATAACTCGACCCAGGCAGTCCCTACCCGAGTATCCTTGTTGTTTAATTTAGAATGCAGCTGTAGATTAGCTACACTTCGGAAGGGGGGTAGTGGAGAAGTAGCCATTAGTGATGAAGCGTGGGGTCAGGATCTTTGTCTCGGGGAAGGTCTTAAGCAAACCTTTTGTTATAACCCCATTTTATTCCGAGTTAAAAAGGTTATCTAGTTTCCCCTTTATTGCAGTCAGCAGTAGTACAGGCAGAAACGGGGGTCATGGCTGTGAAGTACTGCAATTTGCTTTTCTCATTAAGGGGTTAATGAGTGTTTTCGAGTCTGTGCACCTCGTTGCGATGGCGAGGGAGACTGGTCAATTTTGTTTCGCTTTTTAGTACTGTTCTCATATTTACTGAGTAAGGTATAGCATGACGCATCCTCAAACTGTAAACCGGAAAAAAATAACAGAAAATCGTAACTTGTTTTCATAGCGGGGCTCCAGCACTCGAGTGCCTCCGTATAGAACAATTCACTGCTGTCTAAAACGTGTCCGCCCTGTTTAAAAGGTTATACGTCAATTGCTGTTACAGGTGCAGTGGTGTGATTTGGCGCTGTTGTGTGCGTGTATAATTCAGGATTAAGAGTGTGTACCTGGCGTGGCGTGTAGTTCACGGGTTTGCAGAAGAAACTAGGAGCGTCATTGTCGCGCAAATTTTCGTTTCGTCCGGTCTATCGTGCGACCAGGGGCAATGAGGAGTGACATTGATTTCTGACCTGAGCGATGTCGGTGTGCATGTTTTTTTTTTGTGTTGCAGTCCGTTATCCATGCTGTATGGATTCTGAAATCCCAGTTTGAGCACGTATTGCCTTCAGCCCTCACTCCCCACACACACAGTCTTCAGGCCCTACTGTAAGTCTCCCTAATGTGAGCCACTGACCGACCAGCACGCTTTAGGCTCTGAGTCAGCTGGCGGGGTCGGAGAACTCTAAAGCCCTTCTGATCTGCCCGTGCTGAGGTGAGCCCAGAGCTTAGTGTAGAGCAAGGGGCTTTGTCACACATTCCCGCGGCACATGGGACGCTCTCGGCCTCAAGATCGTACTCTGGATCGCCCACGCGTACGGCAGATCAGAGTCTCTCAAACGGAGGGCCGTGCCTTCCTGGCTGACACTGCTGGCCTGTTGTTTCCATCCCAGTCGAGGGTTTAGCTCCTCGCATGTCCTGAAGTTTGTTTCTCTGGGAAGAAGTAGGACTTTGGATTGCTTGGTCTTGGAATCGATGATAAAGACAAGGACGAATTCTATGAAGCATGATCCTAAATTGTTACCTGAGTGCTGTAGGAAAAATGTAAGAAAATTTTTTGGGGGGTATCTTTCAGATATGTTCCACATGTCATGTTGTATGTGGGATTTTAGTATATCTTAGTACTCAGCAGTGGTTATCATTTTTCATACAAAACTGATTACAATCAGGGATCATGCTGAACTTTAGTAACTTGCTTTGTGCCAAAGCAGCTGTTTTATGGAGTGCCAGTTTTAAAGGTTATTAATGTTTTTTATTACTATTTATCATTAATGTCAATCATTCACAGGCGCTCACTGGCTCCGCCCTCTCTCTCTCCTGTCCTGTAGCATCTGGCTGCACTGGGGTGGGGTCAAAGTGACATCATAATGACTCACAGGACCATCCACCTCTTCCGGAAGGGCCTGCGTCTCCATGACAACCCCACGCTGCTGGGGGCCCTGGAGTCCTCGGCGGTGCTGTACCCTGTGTTCATCCTGGACCGCGCATTCATGGAAGAGGCGATGGCGCGCGGCGTCCTGCGCTGGCGCTTCATCCTGCAGAGCCTGCAGGACCTGCAGCGCAGCCTGGCCGCCTTGGGCTCGCGGCTGTACGTGGTGGAGGGCCGCTACGATCAGGTTCTGCGGGAGAAGGTCCGTCAGTGGGGAATCACCCAGGTCACCTTCGACACTGAGGTGGAACCCTTTTTCACCCGCCTGGACGACGACATCCGAGCTCTGGGCCAGGAGATGGGCTTCAGTGTCCAGTCCTGTGTGGCACATACCCTCTACGATGTCCAGAGGTATGGACCTTCATATCTGGTTGATTGCTGTGCTGTAAATCAACATGCACAGCTCTAGGACTTCGTTTCCTGAACGAGTCAGTGAGCGCCTGGATGTCGTTGGATTTTCTCCACTTCTGGTGGCTGCTTTGTTCCTTGTCCGTTACCTGGTTTCGTGGAGTTCGTACTAATGGGTTAATGAATTCACAGCCATCCATGCATTGCAACAGATCATGCATTGTAGCCCATTTAATGCTTTTTATTGCAGCCCATTTTTCTTATTCGTATGTCAGCGAGGAGCACAGCACTAGCGTTTAAATCTCATTGCGTCTTGAAGCCATTCCGTAGGCATCAGCCTTTGCTGTGGTCTTGCGGGAAAAACGGGAACTCCTGAGATGGTTGAAACTGGCGGCGCTCGCGGTGTAGGCGTTTCTGGTTTTGCGATTTTGTTCTCACTTGTTTTACTTCTGTCTAGGATCATCAAAGCGAACGGAGGGGAGGCTCCTTTGACGTACAAGAAGTTTCTGCATGTGCTCGCCCTCCTGGGAGCCCCCGAGACGCCCGCACGGAGGATCACACGCGAGGACTTTCGGTAATAATAATAATAATAATTGCTTACACTTATATAGCGCTTTTCTGGACACTCCACTCAAAGCACTTTACAGGTAATGGGGACTCCCCTCCACTACCACCAATGTGCAGCCCCACCTGGATGATGCAACGGCAGCCATAGTGTGCCAGAACACTCACCACACATCAGGTGGTGGTGGGGAGGAGAGCAGAGTAATGAAGCCAATTCATAGGTGGGGATTATTAGGAGACCATGATTGGTAAGGGCCAATGGGAAATTTGGCCAGGACGCCGGGGTTACACCCCTACTCTTTTCGAGAAACGCCCTGGGAATTTTAATGACCACAGAGAGTCAGGACCTCGGTTTTACGTCTCATTCGAAGGACGGCGCCTGTTTACAGTATAGTGTCCCCGTCACTATACTGGGGTATTAGGATCCACACAGACTGCAGGGTGAGCGCCCCCTGCTGGCCTCACTAACACCTCTTCCAGCAGCAACCTTAGTTTTTCCCAGGTCTCCCATCCAGGTACTGACCAGGCTCACACCTGCTGGGCTTCAGTGGGCTGCCCGTGGGGAGTTGTGAGTGATGTGGCTGCTGCCCTGGTAAGGCCAGGGCAGCCGGTTGCTGTCCCAGCATTTAGTCGTCGGCCTGTCAGAAGAACAGCGGTTGCAGGCAGGGCTGTTTCTGATTTAGCTGTCTGAAGTAGCGGAGGTTTGAGAAATAAATGGCCAAGGCCTCCGATGCAAGCCATATCATCCCCCTTTAATCCTTTCTAACTCTTCATTTTAGAGCAGTGGGAACACGTTTTTATGCCGTAACTCCTATTTTACGTTTAGCTTTATTAGCAAGTATCTTCCTGTTCAGAGTGAAAGGGCTTCGGGTTTTTGGTGATTTTGTTGCGGAGTGTGTTGGAAGTCAGTCATAAGCGAAACAGGAAAGTAAGAGAGTGTTTTTGTAACCTGGGAAAGAAAGCTACGAGTGAACAGATGTGGCTTTGCAAGCTGTTTATATTGGGTAAACAGCAGACGTGTGTGTGTGTGTACAGGAATTATTTTCTTGGACTGCCGCAGAGCTCCTGTGGTCGGAGACGGGGAGATCAGGAAACCCTGAAGTGTGCTGCAGAAGCACAGTCATTTAATCAAAACTGGGCACAGCGGGGGGGATCGAAGGTGGTCTGGGAAAGTCCAGCTCAGCGTCATAGCAGCAGGCTTGCTGGCACTCGCAGCTTCCTGCGAGTGCAGCCAGGGAGACCCACTTTCTCACGCAAGATCTTCAAAACCGCAAGGAGAAGGGGAAAGTGGTAAAACACCGCAGGGCATCTTTTTGCTCAGAGGCTGGATTATCAAAAGTGCGGGTTTTTTTGGGGGGGGGACTATTTTGTGGCCATCTGCATATATCGGCTCTTTATATGCCATGTGTATGTTGCCAAAACCCCCTTGGAGCTGAAAAGAAGGTCATGGAAATTGAAAACAAATGAGCAATGTGTGAACTTCACCATGTGCTATTGCTGCTCCTGAGTTTCCAGTAAGCATTTGCTTGCCTGCTGTGTATGCAAATGCTAACTGGAGCGACAGTACAACAATTCTGTACTGTCATTTGACCTGTGATTCAGTGTATTTTTATTTAGCTGATGCTGTAGTCCCAAGAGAGTTTCTTAGCATCTTTGTTAGCCTTTAACCCTTAGAAGGAAAATGAAAAGGAAATTGGTCATGTACAGTAATTTGGAAGGCGTAAATATGATTTTGCACTTCACAATGGCCTAGTTCTCAATGTTTCTAAGGGTTAGTTAGTAAAAATAACACCATGTACAAATAAAAGGTTTAAAATGCAATACCTAACATCGTTGTACAATAAGTGGTTTGGTACTAGCTCAAGTTTCTATTTTGCTGTGCACAAAATACTGCAATAAATGGCACAGCAGTCGCAGAGAGTCAGAAGGCTGAACGGTGCTGTGTGAACAGGCAGTGGAGGGAAGAGATGGTCCAGTCCTGAGCTTGGCAGGTCCACAGTGGGGATGCTGGAGGGGAGAAGTGCAGGGCGATAAGAGGGGGATATGAGGAGACAGGAGGGACTGGACATGGGTCAGATAAGGGCAATGAAGAAGCAGCAGGACCAGAAATTGGATGCATGCAGACAGGGTGTGAGTGTGTGTGAGTGTGTGTGAGTGTGTGTGAGTGTGTGTGAGTGTGTGTGAGTGTGTGTGAGTGTGTGAGTGAGTGAGTGGTGCTTGTGGTCACACTCCAGGATTGAACTGCCCCACAGCCCCACTGTGCCTCGCTAGTGAACGTCAGAACTGCAGTAACCGGTTCCTCATACTGAGAATGGTCATGCTGTCTCTTCTCCAAGCTCTAAAGTAATGCCTGACCAGCGGTGGGCTGCTTTTTTTGAGACTCTGGGTACTTATGAAAGCAGTGTGAACTCAGGATCTGACCCCACATGCCACAGCTGTGCCTGAACCGCACAGTTGGCTAACTCTTTGAGGTTGTGCTCTGAAAAGCTGTTAAGGAGGAGTAGTGTTGAACTGCAGTCCACTGGATGGCATACTTCATTTTTTGAGAGTATGAGTTTGGGGAATAAAATGTAGATTGAAATGACCATAGATCCTGTCATATGCATTAGTAAATCTTTTGCCATGTGGAGAAAATTAGCGCCATGATCTGTATCTACATTGACTGTCCTGCAGAGCTGCCACACACAGTATGTAGAAAGTAGCAGCAGGTTACGTGGTCCATTCTGCTGGTATGTTCCTTGTCTGCTTATAATAATGAACATGGTGCTCTTCACACCTGCAGTGAACGGATTTCACTGTGTAAATACACTGAAAAGGGCACTTTAGTCATTGTTGTAGGTCTGTACTGCTTGTTCTGATCAAAGAGAGGATGTAGAGGATGTCTCTGAAAGAGCAGGGCTTTTATTTATTTTATTTTTGTATTGAATCTTTTTCCGAAGGGCTCCAGATCAAAGCCATCTGTGCTTCTCTCTCCCCCCCCACCGGTTGGTGCCTTACAGGCTGTTTTCTCTGCTGGGTCTGTGTCTAAGCTCTGCCTCGCAGCGCAGGTTTAAGCAGTAAGGAGGGCAGGTCTGCAGGGTGCAGCCTCAGAGCATTCCTGGATGGTAGGTGTGTGGCTCAAATAAAGCATCTGTTCGATGCTGGATCAGGAACACAGGGACCTCCGTGTTTTATCAGTTCAGGTGCTTTTCTTTCCCTACCTGTGTGCTGCCCTCGATGGCTGTTCAAATGTGAAAAGCAGAACAGTTTTATATTCAAGATTAATACTTCATGCTGTTCTGCATTGTTAAGACATATTAATTTAACTTAAATTGTTTATTTTAACCAACAGGTGTGTTTAGAACTATGGTAGTATTAACTTTTTTTCCTTTTTGTACAATAGCAATTGAAGTGGATTACTGATAGGTACATTAGGATAATGTACTATAATACAACAGTCCTGGCTTGGACCCAGAAGAAAGCTTGAGAGTTAGTGACCATATTTGTTACTATTCATCAGTCAGTGCAGGACCCCCACAGAAGAAGAGAGCGAGGAGAAATACAGAGTGCCTAGCCTGGAGGATCTTGGGATAGTGGTGGAGTCCGAGGCCCTGTGGGTTGGTGGGGAGACGGAAGGTCTGCAGCGACTGGAGCAGCACATGCAAAACCAGGTACACTGGACTGACAAAGGCAGGGGCTCTTTCCCTGCCACTTAGTGGAAAAGTATACAGGGGAAAACATCTGACATTGCGGTTTTATAAAACTGAAGGCTATCAGAAATACTTTTTAGTCTAAAAATTTATTTACATCCATTATACACATTATACACCAATTTATACACATTTAAATCCTCCTCAGGGCATTCTGTTTTTTGTCTTAAACTGAACTGTTTAAATACCTGTACGAGTTTCCAGTATATTTGGATGTTGTTTAAAATGAGTACCTTGTGTGTGAAATAGTCGTCCTTGTGATAGATGCTTTTTGAGGAATCTTCCATTTCTATCCTAAAAGTTGAATGAATTCATCATGTAGTTAACTGTACGAATCCTAAAAGTTGCAGAATGGGTTGTAAAATCATTGAGGGAGAAATAAAGTTGTGTTCATCGCTATTTATTACATGATGTGTTGTCCTGGAGAGACTGATGTATACATTTTGTTGGTTTGCATGCAGTGTTGGCACAACCTGCATTGTATGCTGATGCATTGTATTATTTATGCAAACATAAAACATTGGTACTCTGCAAATGTTTTGGGAGCTAATGTAATAACTACATTGTACAACATACAATATTTGTCACCAGATGCTCTTTTATGTATATATTCCAGCAAGTAATGGTTGTGGCGAAAATGTTAGTGTCTGGAAGAGGATATAATGTCGATTTTCATACTGTCTGTTTCAGGGATGGATAGAGAATTTCACCAAACCTCGGACAATCCCGAATTCCCTGTTGCCGAGCACAACTGGGCTCAGTCCATACTTCAGCCTTGGCTGTCTGTCTGTCCGCATGTTCTACCACAGATTGTCTAATATTTATGCGCAGGTGAGGAGGAGTGCGATCCCAGGTCACTTCAGCGTGTGCAGCTGAGCACACATCACAATGATTTCCCCAGGGTCGCAAACGCTTTGTGTTCCTTCTGGAATCAGTTTAAGTGTGAAAAGTGTTAAGTGTTATGGACTCAAGAGTTAGAAATGGTTCAGGCAATTTAGAGAGAGTAACCGCTGTAGCATTCTTCGCAAATAGGTAGTCCGTTATAGTACAGTATAAATTATACGTCTTGACAAAATAGTTAGCATTCAGCAAACCTAAAGATTATCTCCCTTAAATAACTGCCTTACTGAATTTTGTATTTAATGATAATTGCAACCTGCTTACCTTTACTACCATTAGAGCTCTGAGAATCCTTCTCTCCCTCTTGAAAGAGTTATATTATTATGGTGTATTCAAATCAAGCTTCCTGCAATAATGAATATCAGTTGTGCAAGTAAACCCAAGCCATATTGAAAAACTTTAACTCGGCGTTTTGTAATGCGTATCAAACTCACTGTCAAGTCTTTGCGTCTTTTCAATCCCTTCCAGTCCAAGAACCACTCCCTGCCGCCAGTGTCGCTGCAGGGCCAGGTTCTGTGGAGGGAGTTCTTCTACACTGTGGCTGCAGCCACCCCCAACTTCACCAGGATGGCCGGGAATCCCATCTGCCTGCAGATAGACTGGTACAAGGACCAGGAGGCCCTGGACAGATGGAAGACAGTAAGCTCAAGCATGGGCTGCTCTGATGGATCAGGGGCTCTCGGCCTGTGCCTTTCAGACTGGAGGACCTCATTTCCGTGAATTGCTTTCAATGAGGGGCCTCCACTTCAACAATTAAACTGAATTATGCAGCAAATATGGTTAGTGGGAAAGTACTGAAATGCTACCTGCAGATGCCCAGATCCACTTCTGGCAAGCCCAGAAGTAGATAGCAAATCGAAATAGATCAACTTTGTGAGTGATTGCCTTTATAAACTACAAGTCCTGTAGGTGAAACATTTCTTCCTGGGGAGCCCCTGGACGTTCTCCTAGGGGTCCCCTGACCCGTGGCTGGGAAAGGCTACGAGATGTTTATGTGCTCTTTTGTGGCGAAGAGCTGATCCGGTTTGTGTCTGCGCTCCCCACAGGCCCGGACCGGTTTCCCCTGGATCGACGCCATCATGACCCAGCTCAGGCAGGAGGGCTGGATTCACCACCTGGCCCGGCACGCGGTGGCCTGCTTCCTGACCCGGGGGGACCTGTGGATCAGCTGGGAGGAGGGCATGAAGGTACTGGCTGGACTGTAGAGTGGGCATGGGGAAACCTCATTTCAGTGGTTGACCTCATATATATATATATAAGTTCAGAATGAACAGTGAAATTCAACCAGAGGGCATGAGAAGATGTTGTGGAAGTGCATTTAAAAAAGAGAATAGGAGGCACTTCTTTACCCAAAGGGCTGTGGGAGTCTGAAACAAGCTACCTAGCCATGTGGTTGAAACTCGTGCCCTGGTTTCTTTCGAGAAACGACTCAATGAGATCCTTGAATTAATAAGCTACTACCATATGGACCAGATAAATTGAAGGGCTTGTAACTTTTATGTTGTTGTACTGCAGCACTGGCCAGCTTTACATTGTAGGCTGCCAGAGGTTAATTCTGGCTCTGAAGGGTTAAACTAAGTAAGCTAGACATTGTACCATAATTGCTTCAGCCCTCAAGGTTTATTAATCATACCTTATTTCTATGCTTTTCGCTATGATGGAACACAGCTGGAAGAGTAAAATACAACCTGAACTGTAGCAAAGGAGGGAAGAGGCTCACAGCGTGTGTGTGATGGTTCAATTAACTGTCTGTGGTGTATGTTGGAAGCTTTTTCTAAGGTTTACCTCTGGCATTTTATAGATTTGCTTATTTTAATAGCTTTTATAAATTATGACAATAGAAACTTAAAATAATGGATTAAATGGCAGGTAAAGTCTTACAGCAGATCGTAGCACACAATTTCAGTGTAGGTGAGATTTTAAAGAAGGTTATGGAGCAGATATGAAAAGGATGGGTTTATAAGTTTAGCTAAGTAAATTGGTGAAATTCAGCTTTGTGATAACAGATGCATCAGGCCACCATTAAGGGGTTAACCAAGCCTGTTGGACCTGCAGGGCCAGGCTGTGATGGTATACATTTTTAAATAAAGGGCCTGATTTCCTGTTTGAGGGTTGAATTCTGAAGACGTAGTTCCATCTGTCCCAGGCTTTCCTCACTGTGCTCCTGGTTGTCAGGTGTTTGAAGAGCACCTGCTGGACGCCGACTACAGTGTGAATGCAGGGAACTGGATGTGGCTCTCAGCCAGTGCCTTCTTCCACCAGTACACCCGGATCTTCTGTCCGGTCCGTTTTGGCAGGAGGACCGACCCCGAGGGGCACTATCTCAGGTGGGTCTGGAAAGGTATCAGGGATTCAGGAGAAACGGGGTTCACAGGGGGCATGCATGCACAGAGGTCACCGCTGTCCCCCAGGATCCATCCTCACAGAGCTTTAGAGCTGGTAAAAATGCACAGGCCTTTTTTGCTTCCATTTTTTTCTATGACGTATGCTGTCAGGTAATAGGGACAGCTTATTACCATTCTAATTAAGAGGTGAAATAAAAGCAAAATGAGTTACTTGAAAAATAAGGTGCATTTTATCTACTGCCTGTCCTCCTGAGTGTTCTTGTCTCCGGTGCTTGGCTGAAGTGAACGATGGTGCATCTTTAACTTTTCCTTTTCTTATAGGAAGTACTTGCCCGTGCTGAAGAACTTCCCTTCGCAGTACATCTATGAGCCCTGGACTGCCCCCCAGCAAGTGCAGCTGGAGGCTGGCTGCATCATCGGTAGGCCTGCTTTCATGGTCTCAAATGGATTTCTGGTTCGTTTGACATCTTCCTCCTGAACTGTAAAAATATACATTGAAAAGATTTGAGTGACGTGTTAGCTTTGCATACTGCATAACATGTTGCACTTGAAATCTCTAAGGTTAGCTATAACATGATCCAGAATACTGCATCCTCAAAACAGGATAGTTGAAAGTAAGGGCACAGTTAACAACACTGCCTTCTTTTGGCAAATAAAGATATAGCATCCCATTCTTTGCAAGAAACCCCAAAGTAATGAAGTATTTTGTCCAGAAGGGGAATTAAGAACATAAAGCTTACAAACCAGAGGATCTAATTTAGCTCATGTAGCCTACTGGGCTGTTAGGTGTTAATTTTAGAACTTTGAGTGAAGAAAGAATGCTGTGTGTACTCTCCTTGGCTTGATTTTTCTTTTTTTTTCTTGCTTAAGACCTAGACTGTTCTTACTTTTTCTTGCTTGAGACCTAGCAGCTCCAGGTCCTCTTAGATGGAGAGAATGTCACCAATCTTCTCCAACCTTTAGTTAATAATAGAACACTGGAACTTTCAAGGTGTAGCTTCTCAATAAAGATGAAAGCAAGAGCCTAGTAGGCACAAAGGACTGCAGCAGAATGGGATAGTGAGATTTAAAGTTTCAAAAGGGCTTAAAAAAATGAGGTTTTCAGTCTTTTGGGGGAAAACAAATCAAACGAAGACAGCAACTCTCCCCTTGATTTGTAAGTTAGAAGTCTGCTGATAGACAGGGATCCCTGGTTGAACCCTGAACATCTTGCAGCCCGTCTGCTGTGGTGAAGACGGGTGATGGCAGGGTTTGCCTTTGAGGGAAGAGTGACCCAATGTTGGTCCTGACGCAGTGGCTTGCCTCCGATCCTCCAGGTAAGGACTATCCTCTGCCCATGGTGAACCACAGGGAGGTGAGCGAGAGCAACCTAGCGCTGATGCGAGAAGTGCGCCGCGAGCAGGAGAAAACCGCACAGCTCACCAGAGGTCAGTCGAGCTCGGGACGCATGTGGGCACCAGCAACAAGTGATGCATGGCCAGTCACCATGGCAGCACCCCCCAATGATCATTGCATTTGCTGTTGTGTTGTGCTCAGGAGGAATAATGAATATGCTCATTCCTGTCATAATATTTCAACATTAACTGCCACCCCTCTAGGACCTTATTCATATTAACAGTATTGACTGTTTGAGTGGTGTAGCTCAGTTTTAATAAACAATATAGACATGTTGAGGAGATCAGAGAAGAGCCTGTTGTTGAGGCCATACTGAAGTCAGACTCCTCCCTGCATTTCAGTCCCCAAAAGCTGTCCCCCTCTCGGTCTTTAACTACTCCAGTTAAAAATGTTATGAGGAAAGGTTAGTCATGATAATAGTTCATTTTTTACTCTTGAGTAAATGGCAGAAAAGAGGAGGGTTTTTTAGGGCAGATTGGAGGTAGGTGCAGACAGGAAATGTATATTTTTTAATAGTATTTTGAGTTGCGCTCCAACCTGATTAGGCAAACATTTGAATAAGTAAAACCAGTGGTTCGTATCAATATGCGATGTTCTGGCTGTAGTTGAGCACTTCGGGCTCTAACACTTGGCAGTAGTGTATCTGTCTTCGCACCCTTGCGCTTGGAGGCCTTTTACTTTGCGACGTCGCCACTGCCGATCCTCACTGGGCCACCTCCCTTTCAGATACGGCAGACGACCCCATGGAGGTCGGAAAGAAGCGGGCTTGCCAGAGGGAGGCGGAGACGGACCGGTCGGATGCCTTCCTGGAGAAACCGGAGAGAGCCAAGCGTTTCAGCCACGCTGAGGGAGAGGCCAAGGCCCTGGCCTGCAGCTGGCCAAGCGAGACCCTCAGGCTGCCAGCCCTGGGCAGGGAGGTCATGTGATCACAGGGCCGCCCGCCAGTCCACTGGGGGCGGGGGTCCTGTGTGCACAAGGGATGGACCCCCCCCCCCCGACTCCAGGACCTCACATGCTCGTTGAGTCATCCTGCCACTGTGAATCTTCCCATCAGGCAAGGGGGAAGGAGGACAGAAAGAGCGGAGTAGACAGTCATTATAAACTGTGCACTTCGCCCTTTTCATAATCCAGAAGTTGAGAATCGGAAGACATAGAAATGGGTGCTCAAGCTGGAGAAGGATGTTGTAAGATGCAGGAGTGCCTGGCGCAAAGTCAGGTCACATTCTCATGTACGTGAGCATGGATTAGCTTCCCTCGAGGTCTCGTCTTCTTTGGTGTGAACCTTTTTGGTACGCACGTACATGTCTATTAATTGTATATACTGATGCACAAAAGAAATGCAACACTCAGGTTTAATGGATTCAACCAGTTATGGAATGGATCAAATATTTTACCAAAACCAATCTCAATATGGAAATAAGCGCAGGTCAGTTTTCAACATGAAATGTGAGACAATGTCAAAATGAAAAACATTTCAGAGTTGGTATAGGGTATAATCTCCCTGGAAATAGAAACAGTCCTGGTAGCATTAGTGCACGGATGTAAGCAGGCTCCGGACACACTGATGTGGGATCTTACACCTCTTCCAAGTGTAAGTTGGCAAAGGCTGGCTGGTTGCAGTAGGTGTGAAGACTACAACAGCCAGCAGAATTCTTGCCATAACCTCTGTTGTCTTCTGTCTGCTCTGTTAAGGATAAAATGGTATACAGGGGAAATAAAATACTGTACTTTCTCTTGCCACCTCAGCTGTTCTCTGGCCCACAGGAAACAAAGTACATTGTTAGCTCTAAATGTTAAACATTGAATGTCCTCCCATGCAGAGCATTTTCATGCAGGCAGTGAGGCAGTAATTCTGGCAGAGTTACAATCAAGTCCGTTCTGTCAGGCATCTGCTCTAAACGAGCAGCTTTCAATTCAAGCTTCAAGTCTGTCCTATGCACGTTCAGTTTCTCAGCTTAGAGGAAGTGCAACAGAAACTATGCAGCAGTTTTTCAAGTTTTCAGACATTCTTTATTTGCAGAACAGGTGATGTGTACCACCTGTACAGAGGTCCCTGTCCCTGTACACCAGCAGACTCAGGAAGGTGGCAACAGGATACGGACATTCACCAAGGCAAAACAAAATGCTTCCACTTACAACAGGTGTGCTGAAAAATGCCCACCTTTCAAAAAAAAAAAAAGTGATCTACGCAACCAGAGTCTCCAGGCCTGGTTCTGGAGTGCCCCAATCCAGGTAGTCTCCTATGTCACCTGAGATGAAATCGATCTTTAACATATCAAAACCAAACAGGTAATCTGTTCATTTAAGAGAACACTGGTCCTTGAAGGCCGACGTTCTTAAATTTTAGTCCTAAATTCTGTTTTATTAAATCGCCTTCATAATTGACAACAATGGACTTGTTCTATATCTTCAGAAATTGGTGATTTAATAGTGACATTCAGAACCTATTGGACTGGGGGCTTTCCATGACCAGAGCTGCCATTGAGGTTGAGTGATATCCTCATGGCTGATGGCTGGAGTCTTTCTGTAAATTGGCCATTTTTTCCATATTCAGTGTTTTTGTTATTGATAAGCTTTTGTACATTCTTGAATTACACTAATAAAATATATCAATTCAATTGCCATGTTTCCCTTGGATGCTCAGAAAGGATTGCATATTACATACAATACAAGACCCATTGTCACAAATGTAGTCCATCCTGTGGAGGCAGTGTTGGTCATTGGTTCTGGCATTGGACCAGTAATGAGAAGGTTGTGGGTTCAACTCCCACCTGAGACATTGCTGTTGTAACCCTTGAGCAAGGTACTTCACCTGAAATAACAGTAAAATACCCAGCTTTATAAAGGGATGCAAATGTTAATTGTTTTGAATAAAAATGTAAGATAAATTGATTTCCATCTGGGTTTACAAAACTAAGCTCTTGCATTTCTATAGATGTTTTCAAAATGAAGCTCATAGGTCACTAGGCTTGACAGCCATACTGCATTTAATATAGAATAAAATGTCTTGTCTGAAACCATTATCTTGACTGTGCAAAATGTAAGGAACACAATTTTGGCAAAGTTTCTCCATAAAAAAAAATAAAATTAAAAGCAAATCAAATTTCATCTAGTATAAGTTGACACTTAATGCAGTTTAGGTTTGCTAGACTGAACTTTGAACTTTAGTCCTATATGTAACCAGTACATGTACTGGTACAATGAAATTCTTACTTCTGAAAGTCTCTAGATTGTTAAAAAAGTGTAAAACACAAAGTGCAGACAATATCAAAACAAACAGTAGACAGTGTACAAGTAAACAGGTCAAATGTAAACAATGCAGACATGTAAACACTGACTGCAGATGTGCAATAAATACAATTATAATGAGGTAGATGGTGTAGGTGTGGTCCGAGGGGCGTGGCCAAATCTGTTTGCCAATCGCACTACTTGTGGGTAGAAGCTATTTAAGAATCTGGTGGTAAGTGTCTGTATTGCTCTTGTATCTTTTGCCTGAGGGCTGTGGGGTGAAGAGCTCATACTGGGGGTGGTGACTGTCCTCTGTGCTGGCCAGAATTCTACCATGGCAGCGGTCCTCGTAGATCTGTTTAATCTCTGTGAGACCACAGCCGATGATCTTCTGGGCCACATTTACTGTTCTCTGCAGTGCCTTTCTCTCTCGAGAAGAGGTGTTGCCGTACCACACAGTGATCCTGTTGGTGAGGACACTCTCAATGGTGCAGCGGTAGAAGTTCACCAACACAGGAACTGGCATCCCCCATCACTTGAGGCACCTCAGGAAATAGAGGCGCTTCTGAGCCTTCTTCAAAATAATGTCTGTGTTCACAGTCCAGGGTAGTTCATTAGAAATGTGAATTCCCAAAAACATAAAGCTGGTGACTGTTCTGTCCTTGATTTCCTTGAAACTTTTGTGGTTGCATCCTACTGGGATAGCCGTGGTCTGGAAGGAGCTGACAAAACATCTACAGGATCTTATTGTTGAAATGCACTGATCAGGAGAGGGGTATAAAAGAATATCAAAGGCGTTGGATGTACCATGGAGCACTGTGAAGACTATCATCATTAAGTGGAAAAAACGTGGTACCACAGGGACATTGCCGAGATCAGGATTACCCTCCAAAGGTGATGACAGGACAAGAAGAAAACCTATCAGGGAAGCCACCAAGAGGCCTACAGCAACATTAAAGGAGCTGCAGGAATTTCTGGCAGGTACTGGTCACTCCTTGCATGTGATGACACTATCTGGTATTCTGCACGTCTAGGCTATGGGGTAGGGTGGCAAGATGGAAGCCATTTCTCACAAAAAAGAAGCCAAGCCTGTCTACATTTTGCAAAAACAAATAGATTCAATCACTCCAAACCATGTGGGAAAATGTCTTATGGTCTGACAAAGGTTGAACTATTTGGCCTTAATACTAAAAGATATGTTTGGTACAAAGACAACACCGCTCATTATCCAAAGAACACCACACCTACTGTGAAGCATGGTGGTGGCAGCATCATGCTTTGGGGCTGCATCTCTTCAGCTGGGACAGGGGCTCTAGTCAAGATAGATCGGATAATGACTAGCTCCAAATATCAAGATATTTTGGCACAGAACCTGCTGGCCTCTGTCGAAAGGCTGAAGATGAAGTGGAATTTCACCTTCCAACATAATGATGACACGAAGCACACATCCAAGTCAACAAAAGAATGGCTTCAGAAAAGGAAGATCAAAGTCTTGGAATGGCCCAGACCCCAATCCCATAGAAAACCTGTGGAATGACCTAAAGAGGGCTGTGCACAGGAGATCCCCTGGCAATCTGAAGGAGCTTGAACTTTTTTGCAAGGAAGAGTGGGATAAAATCGCAAAGTCCAGGTGTACAAAGTTAATAGAGACTTATTCACAAAGACTTACTGCTGTAATAAATGCAAAAGGTGCTTCCACAAAGTATTAGTTTGGGGGGGGGG